CTCAGAACCCAAAGAAAAAATGTTCTGAGCAAGCTTTTGGTTTTAAAAACCCTTTGTCCCTGCTGAGGGAGCATGGCTAAGAGCACACACCAACTACAGAGGCTTTCTCAGCTGGACGAAGGGTTTTTAAACCCGAAATCTTGCTCACAACAATGTTTCCAACTGTCTGAGTTGGTCCCTCTTGAACACTTTTACCCTTGTTGGTCGTAACCGGCAGAAAGGTCGAAACGACCGCATTATCTTACACCCGCCACACGGGTCCGCCCCGCGCCTCTCTCCGCCGCGGCTGATGCATGGAGGCGGCGCAGCCGGCAGGGGGCGCGCGCGGGCCCCGCCGCCGCTGGGCCCCTGTTTTGGCCCTTCCCAGCAGCCTTAGCGCCGGCACCCCGGCCCGGCTGAGGCTCCTTGGGGGTCACACCAGCCACCGGCTCCGCGCGGGCCGAAAGGTGTGGGCGGGGCCGTGCCGAGCCGGGCACCTCCCCCCTGCGGGGCCATGTTCACCAGCGCCGGCTGCAGCGGCCTGTGTAAGTACCGCGCCCTCCCCTCCCCCATGCCCCGGGGAGGAGTGGGTTGTGTTCGGGGCGGTGACGCGAGCGGCGCCTGCGAGCCCGGAGGTAGCGGACGGAAGCCGAGAGGCAGCTCCCCGCCCCTCCTCATCCCGTCACCCCCTGCGGCGGGGTAGAACCCTTTCCGTCCCCCGCCGCGGGCTGTGACGCGGAGGCAGTCCGCGGGGTCCGGGGTCACGCGGCCCCTCCCGTCGCACGCTGCACTGGGCAGCTGCCTGGCTGGGGGGCGGGGCGGCTGGCAGCGTTGAGGAGCGGGGCTGGGAAGGACCCGCCCAGGTCGCCTGCTCTAGCCCTATCCCTCCAGGCCGCCCTGTGCACGGGCATGCCTGTCCTGGTCTCCTCGCACAGGGCATCGCACTTGCAGCTGCCCCAGGGGGACTCCGCCCTGCTGCTGCTGCTGCAAGGGTGAATACCTCAGGGAAGGGGCCATGCCCTGGTACAGAGGAAGGCAACCCTCTCCCCCCCATTTTTTGATCCTAAGCTGAGCAGCAAGAAGACCCTTTCTATCAGGATTGCTGGGTTGATGTAGGAGCACTGGTGCAGCCCAGTCACCCCCCAGTTTGGTTAGTCTATAACAGTGGCTCTCAACCTTTCTTGGATTTGAGGCACCCTTCACTGGACTTCTGGCACTCTCCGTAACTTCTGCAAATTGAGTGGCACACAGTTTTAAAAGCTAATTAATATATTAGGATGCTTATCTACATGCAGAGGTGCTGGGTAGTTGGGGGCCTGAGCCTTTATTTATCTGCTTATCTCCTCATACTTGGCTTATCTCTTCATACCTCAGGTCTGGTGGCACCCCAGGGAGCCCTGGCACCTTGGTTGAGAATTGCTGATACAGCTATAGATATAGCACAAGCTTTTGTGAGCTGAAGCTCACTTTCTCCAGATGATATGACAAGACATGTAGAAAGTAAAGATAGACTTTCGCTGGACCAGCTGCACAGATGCCGCCCACAGCAATGATTGCCTCTTGCATCATTCCTGCTCCATCCTGGCTGCAGCATCACCCAGACAGTAGCATGTGTACTCCTGTGGCTCTTTACCCCTGTGTTCAGTTACACCCACATCTTCTTGGGATGTCAGCCCAGTAACCCAGCATCTTAGAGTGAGGGAGAAGTTTTTTAGCTGATAGTTATACTTGTTAAAGAAAAAAAAGAAACTGCAAGTTGTAGATAGAGGGCAGACGAGGGCAGCTTTCTTGCTGTTTCTTGTAAGTGTGCATAGCAGTAGAAACTTCCAAATAGGGGTTAAAGGAAATGCCAAGCACACCAGTTTTTCCTAACTAGTATAAAAGTATATCCAGTTAGTCCTAGCCTGTACTTAAGGTCTTTTCTGGCATAACTGTGTTGTTTTGGAGCGTGAAGGAAGCACTGCTGTTTGAGAAGAACAGAACAATTCATACTTCTCAGACATCTGAGACATCCCTTTGAGATGCCTGGGTCACTTTACGATCCTAGCTGATTGTAGCTGTATTGGTAAAAACTCTAGCTTAATTGCAGTTGGCAAACATATTTTATTCGGAAAAGTAGTATAAATGGTACTTGCAAAAGAAATCATGAGCTGAATTCCCTGCTAGAGGCCTTTGCTAGACTAAGTCAAGGTGGAAATTTAAGGATGTGTAAGCCAAGCAAATGCTCACTGGAGATGAGGTCTTTGAGAAAACTGCCCAGTGCTTGTGGTCACGATTAAAGGCGATCCTGCATATGTCACAATGCTAAATTTTTGTTCTCGGTCTATAGAAACTAGGAAATGTGGCTATCTTTGATTACTGCTGCCAAGCTGAAGTTTTTAATGCCTATTTGAATTACAAAGCAAAATAAAACATTTAAAATACATACGAAGAGCATCAGGTAGTGAAAATATTTGCGCTGGTTGAATAAGTATCAACAGGATGTATAACATTTATTTTGGACTTTGAAAAGCTAGTCTAATCTTAGACTGAGAAAAAGTTTTATCTTTTTTCTTTGTCAGCCTGAAAACTAAATCTCTAGAAAAGTAGTAGGTCAGAGGCTTAGAATGAAAAGGCATTTTGAACCAAAAGCAGAATCCATGAAACTAATTGTCAGGTAGGTACGGTGAGTTCAGACCACCGTAGAACATGACTTGGAGTTCCCCATATAGGTGGGACAAAATCATGCTATGTCTGTTTAATCCAAGTGCCTTGCAGCCCTAGTTTTGTGTACATGAACACATTTAAAAAAATCTGGGTGACACCTCTACATCAGTTTCTGCTAATATGAATTAACTTTGGTGGAAAAAAACCCTTCAAGTTTAGCTTTAGCAGATTTGTGGGATTTCATAGATTTCACAGACATTAGGGCTGGAAGGAACCTCAGAAGATTGAGTTCAGCCCTCTGCCCAAAGGGCAGGAAGTCAGCTGGGGTCATAGGATCCCAGCAAGATAAGCATCCAATTTGCTCTTGAAGGTGTTCAGAGTAGGTGCTTGAACCACCTCCGATGGCAGACTTTTCCAGACCTTGGGGGCTTGGACAGTAAACAAATTCTTCCTTATGTCCAGCCTGAAACGGTCTCGCAGTAGTTTATGACCATTTGACCTTGTCATCCCTTGGTCTCCTGGTTGGTGGTCTCCTGTACACATTGTTGTTCCCTGTCAGAATTCTTCAGTTCACCAGGTACTTTTGGAAAAGTGCTAATTTTAGAAACATTTCCCTGAGAGCAAACCTTTCTGTGTAAATGCCAGTGTAAGGGAAGTAAGGGAAGGGGTGAGGCAGCCCCTTCCTGTGTGGCATCAGGCATCCTGAGGGCTACAGGAGCCTGCTGAAGGCAGGAACAGTGAGAGGCCTAATCCAGCTTTTGTCAGAGCTAGCCTGCCTGCTTTCCCCTCCACCCCCCAATGGCAGAGGGGTGAGCTGCCAGCAGTCTGGAGCAGTGGGCTGTAATGAGGGGTGGGGGGAGGGCAGCCCTTCCTTCCACGGCCGCACCCCCCAGGTCCAACTGGGTGCTGTCTGAACTCGGAGATGCCCAATCCAATTCTCACATGAGCCTGCCTGGGCTTCCAGCACCACACATGCTGTCCCCATCACCTCCCGCTGCCAGCGCACCTAGTCACCCTCGTGCCACACCCCCAGTGAGGCAGGGGCGGCTTATACACAGAATCTACCAAAATCCTAACTTTTTTGAGTGGAAATATGGGGTTGACTTATACAATGCATTGACTTGCACACCATAAAATACAGTACAGTACAAAGTTGTGCTGGCTGAATGGCACTGGATATAGTGAGTGAAAAGATTCACTTTTCAGTAGCTGATGGAACGGCCAGCAGAAGGCAGCTTCTTGCAGCAGAAAATGTCTTTTGAAGTAGCTGTTATAGCTCTGGAGACAGAAAAAAACTCCTTCTGCTTGCTGGCAGAATTGCATGCAAACTAGGGGCCTGACCTGCCTTAGCACTGCCATTGTAGTTAAAAAGGCAACAGCTTGTATACAGGGATGGGCAAAATAAGGCCTATCGAGAGGCTTTGTCTGGCCTACAGCAGGTCCCTCGGCCTTGCCTGGCCCAGGCACGGGGGCAGCCCAGGCCCTGACGTGCAGCTGGTCCTGCCACCCCAACGTATGCAGTGGGGCTGGGGCAGTGCGGTGGCTGGACTCCATTTCCCAGCAGACCAGTGGCAGTGGCTCCTAGCTGCCAGACTGCCCCACTGCCCAGACGCCCTGGGCTGTTTGCCCTGCACCCACCACTTGGGGCTGACCCACATGGGCATGGTGCTCAGCCAGGTGGCTTGTATGGGGGCCGTGTGCTGGCATGGAGCAGCATCCAGGAGTGAGACAGGCGGACGGGGCTAGGTATACTCTGGGGTCTTAGGGCAGTGACAGCATGATGCCGGGCCCAGGGCAGAGTCACGATCCACTGCCCATATGCCCCTGTGATGGGTGCGGGTTCCAGATTGTGGCGCTGCCCTGGCCCCTGCCTTGCGCTTTCACCACCCCAAGACCCCAGCCCTGGCCCCAGACACAGCTCCCCATCTGTGTGGCCGCATGCCCTGCCCATGTGGTTCCCAGCTGGCCTCATGGATACTCTTGGAACATGGGACAGTCACAGCATTAGGCCTGGGCTGGAGCAGAGCCCCAGTTCTGTGGGCAGGGACATGCGGGCAGTGGATTGAGGCTGTACCCTGACCCTGCACTACCACCACCCTGAGATCCTGGGGTCTCCACAGAGACCAGCTGGGAGCCAGATGGGCAGGGCATCAGGTGGATGGGGAGCTGTGTTTGGGGCCGGGGCCAGGATCTTGGGTCAATGACAGTATGGGGCTGGGGCCAGGGCCGAGCTGCAATCCACTCCCTGCTTGCCCCTGCCCGTGGAACTAGCCCCTGTTGCAGGGGTGTGTGGGCAGTGGATCATGGCTGTGCCCTGGGCCCTGGCCCTGCACTGTCACTGCCTGAGATCCCGGGGTCTATCTAGCCCCACCTGCCCATCTTACTCCCGGACACTGCTCCCCATCTGTCTGTGGCCCTATCCCACGTAGGGAGTTTTGATGAGCTGTGGTGCAGGGGGGAGAGGGGTACCAGCCAATGACGGCTCAAGAAAACTCCCTATGTGGCTGGTGGCCCCAGATTATTCCCCACCCTTGCCCTGTAGTGTAGAGGATAGGATAGGTGAGGTGGAAGTAATCAGGTTTGGTGCATAGGGGTGAATTGAGGAGCAGAAAGAGAACACTCCTCTTAGAGAAAACTGGGGCAATGCATACCTGTCAGCTATCTGCCAGGGAGTTTTCAGTCATCTGAAAACATCCCATTGAAAGGAATGGGTCACTTCACAGCTTCACAAGCATCTTGTGCAGTTGATGATTGTTCAGATCCCATTCTCCCTACCCCAGCCTTTTAAAATGAAGGAGGGAATCTTTCATCCCACTTGTTGCATTTACCTGGTAGATGGCATACTTCCTGCCTGTTAGTTACGTGTCCTCTCTTCTGATTGTTTCTTCAACCTTACTGG